CCCTCAGCCGCGACTGCCACGCCGGCCACCACGCCCTCCTCGAGTCGTGTGATGTTGCTGGTTGCCAGACGACTGAGAAGGAGCCGCCCCCTCCTGCCGAATTAGATGCAGCAAACGCCGGTGTAGTGGGGGGGATTTCCAAGGATTGTTGGTACCGGAGACGAGCATCTTGATGGACCAATTTTGTGCCTAATGAGTCAAATGTGAGTCCTTCGGCAAACAAGGTAAGGGGTCCCACTAGTGACTCATAACCCGGTCCCAATCCCAAAAGTGTGTATTCAATAAGATCAGTATTGGAAACCGGGGAGTTAATGGCGGCCAAATTTTCAGCAATAGTTTGAATCCCACGAACATATTCCTCCATGGATTGATTTTCTCTCTTCTTAGTGCGTGATAACATTTGTTTTAATTCTATGGAGCGTGCAAGACTGGAAGCCATAAAGCGGGACTCCAAACGTTGCCAAATTGCCACAGAATTCTTCAAAGAATGAACTTCCATCAAAATATCTCGGGAAAGGGTTGCAAACAACCAGGCACGTACCGCATGGTCTAATTTGAGCCAATGATAATATTCAAGATTCGGAGACTGAGCCTAATATAAATCATAAGTATACATAGGCGGAGCGGATAGAGAGCCATCATGAAATCCCAAAAGGTCGTTGGCTACCACAAAAGATTCAAACTGAGTGCGCCAGGGCAAATAATCCTCAACAGCCATCAATTTTGAGGTCACGATAGTTGTAACACAGGCCCCAAAAGTCATACCTTGAGCAAGTTTAGCAAACGAAGTGGGCATCTGAATGGACTGTTGTCCAATAACTCCAGCCGAAAGAAGCTGCAAACCTGGATTGCCCGATAACGTGGGCCCGGCAAACTGAGGAACACCGAAATTGCTGGAGCCTTCAGGGGACACGGCCGGGAGCTATTGAGATGGTGTCTGGACCAACGAACTCAAAGTCGGCGCAGACGGAGTCCAACTGAAAATAGGGGGACCCACATTGCTGCCGGAAGGGAAGAAGGGAACGCCGAGTATGACTGCGAGCGAAGCTGATCAGCCGTGCAAGAGACGACCACTGTCAGCAAAGGCGAGGAGATAGGATGTGATTCAGTCACGCTCAACATGGAGTCGGTCACGGTGGTGACAGCCTGGGATGCGGCGGCGGTGACTGCCTGAGACTCGGCGGCAGGGGCCATAGCAGCGGATTTTTTAATTTGGGCTAAAACCTAGAGCTTTGATACCATGTTATAATTTTCAATCTGAAATGTCATGACTTTTATCTCATAGTGGCACTTTTCTTTAATTTCTTTGTAATTAATGACTTTTAACTTTTATTTAAATGTCATCATTGTCATGACTTTTAATATTTATCTGAAAGTGACATTGTTATTTTAATATTTTTCCATTCTTGTATATTTATTTTAATATTTCGTGGTCAGTATGAACATAGGATATTTTTACTTGGACCGTAATTTGATGGTCTGGTATGGTATGGTCTGGTCTGGTCAGTTTTGGTCTGGTCTGGTCTGGTCTGTTTTGGTCTGTTTTGATCTGGTCTGATCTGGTCTGAAATTTTATTTTTATATTTTTTGCATAAAGATTTTATTTTTTATATATATTATAATCCATAAATAATTATATTTTATGCATTTATAATTACAAATAATAATAACAATAACAATAATAATAATAATAATAATAATTAGGGGTGTGCACTATCCCGTTTAAACCACAAAACCGGACCGAACCGGACCGGAAAAATTGGAAGCGGATCGAACCGGAATGATATCTGGTCCGGTTCAGTACGGTCCGGTTTTGAACCGGTGCACACCCCTAATAATAATAATAATAATAATAATAATAATAATAATAATAATTAGGGGTGTGCACTAGCCGGTTTAAACCGGAAAACCGGACCGAACCGGACCGGAAAAACCAGAACCGGATCGAACCGGAATGATATCCGGTCCGGTTTGGTACGGTCCGGTCCGGTTTGAACCGGTGCACACCCTTAATAATAATAATAATAATAATAATAATAATAATAATAATAATTAGGGGTGTGCACTAGCCGGTTTAAACCGGAAAACCGGACCGAACCGAACCGGAAAAACCGGAACCGGATCGAACCGGAATGATATCCGGTCCGGTTCGGTACGATCCGGTTCGGTTTTAAACCGGTGCACACCCCTAATAATAATAATAATAATAATAATAATAATAATAATAATAAATATAATAATAATAATAATAATAATAATAATAATAATAATAATGAAATATGGTCTGGTCTGGTCTGGTCTGTTTTGGTCTGATCTGGTCTGGTCTGGTCTGGGACGAATTACGATCCAAGTAAAAACAACCGTAGAGTTACTTTCTTAACTACGTAGTATTAATTAGGAATGAAAGCAAAGCATATACTACGGTATGTTATGTTAAATTATTTATGGGAATGACAACATTATTGATACTCTGTACATTGTATCCTATATATAGGATGAGTGGATGACATTTTTCAGTTACGGGTTTCATTAAGGGCATTACTTTGAACTCATTTTTTACTCCTAGGTTTGCACACTCTTATATTGTGTTACTCCCTCCGTTCCTATTATATCTTTCAACTTTCCTTTTTAATTCGTTCCAATTAAACTTTCATTTTCCCTTTTTGGTAAAGAATTTGTGGTTCACAACATTTCTTACACATTTCTCTTTCCTCTGCACAACTCTCCACCACACAATATCAACTTTTCTTAAATTTTGTGCCAAAGTGAAATGGAAGATATAATAGTAACGGTAGACATTTAAGAAAAAGAAGAAACAGGAAGACCAAGCGTATCACAAGGATACCCACCACGCGTGAAAAGGAGTCTCCCTCACACATCGTTCTGGTGTATTCTCATGCAATACCCAGAGCCTGTCTACGGCAGTCGTCAACAGACTCAACACCAGACTTAAAAAATAGACATAAATCTAACTTTAATTTGAAATATGAAGTATATTTTCTTTTGTATGACACTGTATGTCAACTTATAGTGTACATCCGGTTATACGGTGAGCACACCGTATAACCGAACATTTCATGTTAAAAGAAATGAATATTGATATAAAATTATATAATTAACACAATAAATAGTTTGATGACAATATATTATGGTAATATAGTTAAATAAACAAGTCGATTTGAAACATATATCATATGTGGATCATGATACTAAATTGCATGCTTCTCATACTCAATTGTGCTACCAATAAAGTAATTTAGTATCAATGCTCATTTTTTAAAACATTATGCTCATAAAAAATAATATAAAATATCCGTTGTACAATGAACAATGTACAACCGGGTGTACAATGTACGCTCTCGACATGCAGTGTATTTGCATTCGTATACGGTGTACGCAATAACATTGAGACATGAAGAGGTGACACAATTATTAAGAAAAATGAGATTATGTAGTTGATATTGAATTGATAAAATAAGAATAAAGTAAAAATGATTTGGAATCATACTGAAGGATGACTTCATCACATACAAACTTTACCGAATTTGGTATGCAACAATCTTAAGTAGTTGACAAAATCGAAAAAGGGAAAATGAAAGAATCTTAGCTGCGTAAAGAGAATAATTAATAAAATTTGCAAATGGAAATAGATTCTCTTTTATATGATTTGACTTGATGAAAGATGGTCTGTCCTCTAGTTAATGTGCTTTATTGGTAAATCAAATTCTATAGTAAATGACGGAACAATGTAACTTTGTTGCAGATGTTTCCAAAAAATGTAGGTTTGGCCAAATTGTTAATTGAAAAAAGGAAACATATTGGACGAATATGTTGAGTATTTCCGAAAAGAAAAAAATACGCATGTGAACATATTTGGTGAATCTGTCAGATTTCATATTGGTCAATAATATGGGGCGCGGATCACAATCTCGGATCGTGCATTGAAGGGTGTGGATGGTTTTTAATTGAACATATTTGGTGAATATGTTTGCATTAAATAAATATATCTGCCAACATATTCGTCAAATATGTCGGACTTCCTATTTGCTGAAAGCATTTGGTGTGGATCGCCATTTGAGGGTGTGGATCGAATCTAATAAATATATATTCGAACATATTTGGCGAATATGTTGTATAAAACACATCACAAATCACACTTCACACACACATCCAACTAGGGGTGGGCAAAATAACCGAACCGGCATGGTACCGAACCGGACCGGTATGGTACCGGACCGGAAAACAGGATTTCAAATGGTTCTCAAAAATTTTGTCCCAAACCGGACCAGACCGATTCCAAACCATGCCATGACTGGTTTTCATTTTATGAGAACCGGTACCGGACTGAACCGAACCGAATTATAATTTTATTCATTTATATAATTTTATAATTATATATACATGTATACCATATTACCATTACTTTGATTACTCATTTGCACCTTGCTAATTGCTAGTTAACCCGATCGGTAAAAATGAATAGTATTATATGAAATTCATTAACTATGTTATTGCTAGCTAATTATGTTTTGTACTATTATAGTTTATAAGAAATTCATTAATTATGTAATACTACCTCCGTCCCAAAAACTTTTCCATTTTCAAAACTTTGACCAATTATATTTTTTTATTGAGAATTATTTATAATATAAAAATTATATGAAAATGTTCTTTGTTAAAAATACTTTCATAAAAGTATAAAATTTATAACTTCCATAATTGTGTTATAAATTTCTATTCAACACTCATAATATCTAATACGAATTATAAATGTAATTAAACAACACTATTATAATACAATTTCTAATACTCCGTACGTAATTACAAATTTAATTAAACAACACTATCTATAATACAAATTATAAATCTAATTAAATAGCACTACTTATAATACAATTTGTAATAAAAAATACACCTAATTAAACAACAACACTACTATTTCAAAATTAAAATTCTCCGAAATAGGAAATGGGAAAGATTTCTACAAATCAATGGTGAACAAATTATTAAAAATAAGGTTAACATGCACATTAGTAAATTTACACATACATATTCGGTAAATTAACACTAATATTTCCTATTTGGTAAATAAACTAATATTTGGTAAGTTTCGTATTTTACTTTTTTAATAGGTTCCTAATTCACAATTAAAAATTAACACTATTATAATTTCGGTAAATTAACACTAATCTTTCCTATTTGGTAAATAAACTAATATTTGGTAAGTTTCTTATTTAACTTTTTTTATAGGTTTTAATTTACAATTAAAAATTAACACTAATCAAAATCATGGTTCAAATTTTTTGAAATGACAAAGTTTTTTAGGACGGAGGTAGTATGAAAATTCATAATTGTGTGGATTTTTTTATGATGACTAAGTTTTAATTTATCGAAAAAGTGGCATTGTTTAGCACCGGTATGTCATGGTACCGGACCGTTTGAAAATGGAACCGAACCGAACGAGTTTAGGTCTAAGACCGAACCGAACTGAACCGTTTCAATAGTAACGATCCGGGTACGGGTTCGGTAAAATATTGGACCGGACCGGACCGCGCCCACCCCTACACCTAACTGCTCCAACTTCTCTTCTTCTCCAATTCTCGGCCATATCTTTCATTTAACCCAAGTAAGTTTTCCCTTAATCTTTTTTAGTTTAATTTAGTTTATAATTTAAAAATGTTACTTAGGAATGAAATTAGTCTATAATAGTGTTAATTTTTAATTGTAAATTAAAACCTATAAAAAAAGTTAAATAAGAAACTTACCAAATATTAGTTTATTTACCAAATAGGAAAGATTAGTGTTAATTTACCGAAATTATAATAGTGTTAATTTTTAATTGTGAATTAGGAACCTATTAAAAAAGTAAAATACGAAACTTACCAAATATTAGTTTATTTACCAAATAGGAAATATTAGTGTTAATTTACCGAATATGTATGTGTAAATTTACTAATGTGCATGTTAACCTTATTTTTAATAATTTGTTCACCATTGGTTTGTAGAAATCTTTCCTATTTCCTATTTCGGAGAATTTTAATTTTGAAATAGTAGTGTTGTTGTTTAATTAGGTGTATTTTTTATTACAAATTGTATTATAAGTAGTGCTATTTAATTAGATTTATAATTTGTATTATAGATAGTGTTGTTTAATTAAATTTGTAATTACGTACGGAGTATTAGAAATTGTATTATAATAGTGTTGTTTAATTACATTTATAATTCGTATTAGATATTATGAGTGTTGAATAGAAATTAATTTAATATATTATTAGGTTTTCATGGCTACACAAAGAGAACACCCTCACCCCGGACCCATAAAACGTCGCTAAACCGTTCTGTATTGGTGATGAGACCCGGAGAACATCGTGCTGATCATTTGTGGAAAACTGAAGAGTTGAGAGACCTAGAACTGAAATGCATTACTTTCCCCAAATACGCCAACGACGATGGCGAACGTCATCCTAGAGTCGTACAGCTATTGAGGGCATTATGTAATCATACTACATATGCAACACTATGTGAGCGCATTATGCAAGAAATGTCCCGTGAAGGTTTATATGATATGAGAACCATTCATGGAAAATTTCCCACATATAATTCCGAGGGAATATATGTTGCCTCCATGCCGTGGCCTATCCATGACGACCAGTCATGGATCTATTTTCTACAATTTGCTCGCAATCAATACGAACGATTGGAGATATACATGAATGCCGAAAAGAAGCAAATGGTTGATTCATCTCAACAACGCACTTCTAGGCATCCTCCCAACCAAGGCACTTCCCGGTCAATTATTGACATCAATGTCCCCCATGATGCTTCAGATAGTGACGATGATCCTTATTATAACGCTCTTTCCTTTTCTGAACACGAGAGCAGTTCCGAAGACAGTGATGATAACCCAAATGAGAACGAGGACGAGGACGAGGATGAGGAGGAGTTCGTTGAACCCACATATCGTGATGAACGACCCATATATGTGAGTAGAGTATATGATACATTCCAAGAGTTCAAGGAAGATGTGTCCCTTCAAAACCTCAAAGAATTTCGAACATTTATTATGGCATTTATTAATCCAGGCACCATCGTCGACCTACGAACAGATCCAACCATTACACAAGGTACGCATGAATTTAAGTACACATTTTGGTCAATCAAAGCATCGATTGATGGTTTCAATCACCGTCTTCTGGTCATTTCCATTGATGGTACACATTTCTATGGTAAGTACAAATGCACTTTGTTGGTTGCGGTGGTGATGAATGCTAACCGTGGAATCTTTCCCCTAGCTTTTTGGGTGGTTGATAGTGAAAACGGGGACAGTTGGACGTGGTTTTTACAGTTAGTTGCGACAAATATTATTCATCCGTGTCGGAATGTTTGCATAATATCTGACCGACATGTCGCTATTGATTGTGCGTTCCAGAATGTGCCACAATTGGGAACATCTCTAATTCAGAGGCGATATTGTCTTCGACACATTCAAAGTAATTTTATGTCCCAATTTCGAAGCAAGAATCTAAAAAAATTGTGTTGACGTGCGGGAAGTACCCCCATTCTAAATGAATTCACTAATTACATGCAACAAATTCGGGGTGCTAATGAAATAGCATTCAACTATCTTGATGCCATTCCTAAAGAGAAGTGGGCACTTTGTTTTGATTGTGGGTGTTGTTATGGAATTTTGACGACCAATCTATCTGAAAGTTTTAACCATGCCCTGAAAGGATGTAGAACGCTTCCAATTACAGCGCTTGTGAGAGCAACTTTTGATAAATCCGTTCAGCTCTTTGCAGAACGACGTAATGCTGCTATGATGTGGAATCAAAGTGGATATCAGTTTCCGGAAAAAATTCGGAAGCAGATTATGGATCGATGGCAACAAAGGCATCACACTGTTGTAATCCCGCACAATCATCATAATGGAGTTTTCTTAGTTGCCATAGAAAATGCAACTCCGGTTACGATAGACTTTTCAAGGCGCGACTGTGATTGCGGGTGGTGGAGGATGAACTGGATGCCATGCAGCCACGTCCATGTTGTGTGTCACTTCCTCAACCGCCCTGTCGATCAACTTATTCCGGAGGTTTATAAACTGAGCTCTTACATTAATGCACATGCGGGTGATATTATGCCTCTACCAAATGTGAATGAGTGGCCGGATATTGGGATCCATCTTTTACCGCCAAAATATTTATCACGAACTTCTCGAGTGGGGCGTCGTCAAGAAACAAGGTTTCAAAATGAGATGAATACGCGTCCAAGCAGAAGAAGAGGACAATAACGATTTCATGTATTTTTAATATTTTAGCTTTTTTAAATTGTACTTTTTTAGTTTTTAATAACAAGTTGTTCTTATCATTTCAAAAAAGTATTTCAATTCAGAATATATAAATTTTCATTTCAGTAGATAGTACTGTATAATTGTTTTTGAAAGGTTGTATGAAATAAATAATGCATTGGACTGTTTTTACATGTTAATACAGGAACCGATTCTCTACTAAACTTTTTTTATTTGAAATTGTTGAACATATTTAGTAAATACGTCCACTGATTTTTTTTTTAATAAAAATTGTACGTTGAACATATTCGCCAAATATGTTCATCTATTAAAATAGTCTGCAGACGCCTCTGTACTACACTTTTTAATTCGAAATTGTCCAACATATTCGCCAAATACGTTCCCTGCTTTATTTGTTTATATATAAATTGTTGAACATATTCACCAAATATGTTCGACTTTTAAAATGGTCTGTAGACAGGAATCTACACCTTTTGGAATTGTTAGCAGGGAATCTACCCTGTTTTGTCAATGACCCATTTTAAATGAAAATCTGATATTTGTCCCATCAATATACTTTCTCCCTTTTTAATAGTAACAACATTGACATTTTTGCACTATTCACATATTTAACTTTGACCAGAATTTACTACTTTATACTATCTATAATCAAATTATTATGTAAAAAGTTTTGTGAAGCTTCTACTAATGTGAATTTCTAAAATATGGTTAAGCTTCTATTAACATACTGCCACGTAGCAATTTAATACTGCCACGTAGCAATTTATCGCTCCTTTCTTTCTACTTCAAGGGACACAAGGAAATACAGAATATCAAAGCAACACCATGCGGAGAGATATACATGATGGGTCCCACAATATAAAAAACCCTCTTTTATCTTTTTTAATAACCTAGTATTGTACCCGTGCATACGCATGAGAAAGAGCATTTGGTGCATATATTTTTTACTCACGATTTAATGAAATATTAAAATAAATATACTTTGTAGAATTCAACATTTTTGAAAATAGGAATACAATAAGATATAATACCATAAAGTATAAGTCCATTAAATACATATTCAATGAAGAGTATATTAAGAAAAATCAATTGACACTATTCATTAGAATCTACTACTTATAAATTTTCATGATTAAATTAAATTTAAAATTAAATACTACTCTGAAAAAGTGAGAACAATAAGTGAGTGACATAAAGTTTAAGTGAGTAGAATAATTATTAAAATTAATGAATAGTATTAGTTGAAAAAGAAGTTGCTACTCATCGGTTAAATTAGAACCAACATATGAGAGAGAGAAAATTATTCTGCTAAATTCTCAACCAGTTTCTCTTATGCCTAAAAGAACTACATATGACAGACAATTGTCCGACTCAATCAATTGTTAGTCAGATTAGTTTATACCTAAAAACACTACATATGAGAGAGAAAATTCTCCCGCTCCATTGTCTCGCTCAACTGTTAGCAACTCATCTTCTAATATCTAACAACAGTACATATGAAAAAGAAAATTCTTCCGCTCAATTATTAGCATTATTATTAGATCAAGGGATAAGGGTCAGATAGGGCCTCGAACTTGGGAAAAAAATGTCAAATAAGGCCATATTTAGGATGCTCTGTCCGGCCGACGCCATTTGGGGTGGTTACCGAGGGAATTTTTTGATGAATTTTTTTAAGAATCTTATTCATTAAGTCTAGTTTACTCATATCAAATTTGAACTAAAACTTCAATCGGTAAGGCATTCAAATGAATTCTTGAAGATAACTGCTCTTTTAACTGCGCAGTTATCTTCAAGAATTCATTTGTATGCCTTCCCGATTGAACTTTTAGTTCAAATTTGATATGAGTAAACTAGACTTAATGAATACAATTGTCAAAAAAAATCATCAAAAAATTCAACCGGGAATCTTCCCAAATGGCGTCGGCCATACAGAGCATCCTAAATATGGCCTTATTTGACATTTTTTAATGATAAATTATTGCTGATAAATTGGGCCTTTCCTTCTTCCGGTTATACTGTATTAGTTTTTAGGACTATTGGGTTGGTGTTTCTCGGGTCAGGTCCAGCCCCCCCCCCCCCCCCCCCCGAGGATTTATTTCTTTCTTTATTTACTTTTATTCAGATGTATTTTGAGAAGGTATGCCTTCTCTTGAGAGGTTTTGGTCTAGCCCCCCTCTCAGTTTGTACTTTCAATTGTTTTAATAAAATTTGGTAAACATTCCCCAGCGTTTACCTCATTGATTTTGGTGGTTTACCTTCCGGGTTAAAAAAAAAGAGAGAAAGTTCTCCCGCTCAATTGTTAATCAGCTTACCTTATACCTAAAACATTGTAAACTTTCAGTTTTTTCTCATCCCAAAAAACATTAGCATTTCCACTTAAAGTAAGAAAAATATGTGGTTAAATTTATTTCTCATTTCTCTACAGAAATATCAACTACATAATTTGTATTTTATTATTCTACGTGCAAGTCAATTTTGGCCAAATTTTATGGAACAGAGGGAGTATAAAAATATACTCCCTCCGTTCCTAAATAAACTTCCAACTTTCCTTTTTCGTCCCTTCCAATTAAAACTTCCACTTTCCCTTTTTAGTAAAGAATTTGTGGTTCACAACATTTCTTACACATTTCTCTCCTCGGCACAACTCTCCACCACACAATACCCACTATCTTAAACTTTGTGCCAAACCTATTTGGAAGTTTTAATAGGAACGGAGGTAGTAAATAATTTTAAGCATAATTATTGAGCCGTTAATAAATTACGTAGGTGAGAAATAAGAATAGTAAAAAATGAGTGATTTATATTTGTGCAGATGAGAGAGAAATGTGCAGAACCACAACTTAGTTATTTTAAGGGAAAATCGCACTCTTAGTCCCTGAAATAGTCTCCATATTGAAATGTCAGACCCGTATTCCCGAGTTTGTAAATGTCACCCCTCAATTGTCCAATTTGCTGTAAATGTGGTCATTTGAGGGTGAAATGTACTCTATGGGCGAGGAGTACATTTCACCCCTCAAGGGACCACATTTACGGCAATTTGGACAATTGAGGGGTGACAATTACAACCTCTGAAATACGGGTCTGACATTTCAATATGGCGACTATTTCAAGGACGAAATGTGCGAATTTCCCTTATTTTAATAGAAAAATGACAAAGTTTTTTGGGACAACCAAAAAAGGAAAGTTGTCAAAGTTCAAAGGGACGGAGAGAGTATATTTTTATATATTCAATATTGATCTCATATGAAAGATCACAAAAAATTATGAGTTTTGATATAGTTTTTAGAAACATTGGAGCAAAAATGAAAAAGTTATAACACTTTGAAGAAATTTGGGATTTTTTATAACTTGAGCCCCACCAACTCCATTTCCCTTTTGGCTGCTCTTCCTTTCCTTGGTTGGGTAGCTTTGAAGTAAAACGTGGCCACGGGTTATAATTTTCTTTAGATGAGCTATCTTCTTTCTTATACTACCTCGTCCCGGTGAACATTGCCAAGTGTAAAGTAAGTGAGAAATAAGAATAGTAAAAATTGTGTGGTTGAAATTTGTGCAGAAGAGAGAGAAATGCACAGAACCACAAATTAGTTGTTTTAATAGGAAAGTGACAAATTTTTTTGAGACAAAAAAAAAAGTTGGCAAAGTCCAATGGGACGAAGGAAGTATATAAATAGATTTTGAATGAGAAATATTTTGAGATGAATTTAATAAATAAAGTAGTAAATTAAAACCAGAAATATTTTATGCCCATGAATAATTGAAAATTAATTGACTTAAGCAAAAAATGGAATCTAATAATCCAACCTTCTATTGTAATTCAGGAAAAATGGAATCTAATAATCCAACCTTCTATTTAAATTCAGGAAAAATCTAACCTTTGCACCCCATCTTGATTTGTTGATCCGTTGATGACCTGCTATTCTAGGTTTTTTCATTATTTTTGTAAATCATTTAATCATAAATACCATCTTCTACGAATCTTCTTGATATGGTCCCAATTTTTATTTTTTCTTCCTAAAATTTTTATTTCCTTTTTATGTATTCATATTCATTGTACTCTCTCTTTATAATTTTTTCAATTATAAAAACGAAAAATATAGGGAACATTCTTCAAATAGTATTTAATGAAACTTTAATTGCAAGAATATGAGTATAATTTTAAGGTTTCTTAATTAGGACTAGCTTTCCAATTCTATCCTTGCTTTGTTTAGTGCAATTAATATTTCATTAATAATTAAAACATAAAAGTAATAGCAGAACCTTATTTATAATTAAAATGTAGGACAAAAACGAAAAATAAATAATAAATGAAATTAATAAATCTAAAACGTCATAAAAATGAAAAATATCAAATTAAAAACTCCAAAATTTAAAATAAAAAAATAAAAAAGTAAAAAACAATATGTATGCATCTGCTGCCGCTTCAACAACCTCCCAACATCACCAGCTCCGACCACCGGATAAAAGTCCAACATGTGTTAGTAATGCAATCTTGATGACAAATTTTTAGAAAATTTAGGCATTTTCAAAGAGTAAAAATGTAATATTTATGACATTTTTAGATAAAAAATTGCAGTGTGTACACAAAAAGGTATTTTCGCCGATTGGAGTTGGCGTTGCTGGAAGGTGGCGAGGTTGCGGGAATGGCCTCCAGTTTTTGTATACTTTTAATGTGTTTTATTTAGTTTTATTTACTTTTAAAGTTTTCTTGAAATTATTTTTTATTACTACTTATTATTTTTTTAAAAAAAATAGTTTTCACTTTTTTTGTTACTATATTTTTATAAATTGAAATACTTTTTTTGTTATTTTTATTTTTTATTATAATGTAAAATATAATTATCCTATTAAGTAATGGTAAGGGTAGAAATGTAGAATAAGAAGATAGAAAGTACTTTAGTCCTGTTTTGGGAAGATAAATAACATAGTTCTATTTGTGCATTTAGGGATTAGTTTAGTCCTATTTTGGGGATATTTTCTCAAAAATGTATTAGTGATGAAATAAAGGTAAGAAAAGGAAAAAATAGATAAATAAGTGTAAGTAAAAAGAAAGTAAAAAGGTTAGTACGGTGAGAAAAAAATCTTTTATAAGGAAACTAATCCGAAAAAATATATCAAAATGAAAATGAAATAATAAACGGGAAGAAGAAAAAGAAGGAAAAATGGAATACATAAACATTGAAAAATAAAAAAATGAAAAGAAATAAAAATAAGAAGACCAAAAAGGGGAATAAAAAAGTCAAGACGATAACAATAAAAAAGGAAAAGTTTTAGGGAGAAAACCCAAAATCATACATGGGACCGCTTGGAGAAGATTCGTGAAAGGTGACATTTATGGTTGAGTGATTTGCAAAGAAAATGAAAAAACCTGGAATAGTAGTTAGTCATCAACTGGTCAGGGACCAACGAATGAAACTAAGGTGCAAACGTTTAATTATTCCTGAATTACGATAAGGTGAGACTATGGTAAGAACAACACTAAAATGTTGGATTATTAGTTTTCATTTTCTCTTTACTTAATTATAATCCTGAAAGAACATCAGAACCCGAATGATGCAACTTTAACCCTATTTTAAAATCTAGAATCAATATTATTAATTTTGTTTTTAAGATGTTTTTACTTGGACTGTAATTTGCTGGTCTGGTCTGATCTGGTCTGGTCTGGTCTGGTCTGGTCTGGTTTCTTTGTATTTTTATAACTATCTAAGTCTGGTATGGTATGGTCTGGTCTGGCATGTTTTCTTTGTATTTTTATAACTATCCAAGTCTGGTCTGATATGGTCTGGTATAAACTGGTCTGATCTGATCTGGTCTGATCTGATCTGATCTGGTCTGGTCTGATTTGGCTTCTATTCAAATTTCAAGTCTACCCTTATTAATTTTTCCAAATTCTTTGGTGGATCCTGATATTAGTTCAACAAAGGGTAAAATCATCTCTCTCTTTCCTATCTTTTACGCTCATCTTCGCCATAGCTCCTTCTCCCTGTAGTCCTCCACCGGCACTGATTCTCCATGGAGTTCTCTACTGCGTCTTGCCTAGCTCTAGAGTTTCTTTCTCAGTCGCCACCGTCTTGCTAGCATCCTTCTCCATGGCGTCTTTTAAGGCGACGTTTCCCACTGGTCCTTTCCTAGGTCATCCCACACATGCTTTAAATTGGGATTCAGTTCTGCTATGGATACGAAGATAAGAGAGAGATAACCAGATAGCAAATTGAGGCTTCAAATTGATACTCCCTCCGTCCCATATTTATCTTCTTAGTTCAGTTTACTATGCTTGACTGACGATAAAGCAACTTGATCCCTATTCATACTCAGATTATTTTTAGTAAATTAAATTTACATATTCAGAAACTTCATTAAATCCGTTACAAAGTCTGATCAAGAAAATTTAAGTTTGATATATAAAGTAAAAGATTAAGAGTAATTTGAGTTGAATGGTCTATCAAATACATTTTTAATAGGGTTCTACGACCGTACGGCGGTGATAAGACGATGGGATGGGAAATATATAAGATGAGGAAGAAGGGAAGTGATACGGAGAGGGGGCCAGGTGAGGAAGAAGAGACACAATGTCTGAGAGTGTACAGGAGAGGGGGAGTCGAGAAGGGAAAAACACGGGTAGAGAAATTATTGGAAGGGTAGAATTGGAGTTGCACTGGATACTTTTTTCCAAAAATGGAAAGATCATCATTTTGGGACAAGCCAAAAAGGAATTACAAAATCATCAAATTGGGACGGATGCGGTAATTTTTCTTCTGCTTTCATGTAAGAGTTTTTCGTCTAGGGCATCAAAACTCACCAAGACGGCCCTATTCGTACATTAATTGTTTGTGTCATTCATTTTCATCATTTTCATTTACCTACGGTGGGGTAAGAGGGGTCAGATGTATGTAGTCTTACCCTTGTACTAAAGCGCAGAGACTGTTTCCGGATGACCCATAGTGAAAATCCCGTCCAAAATTGAATGGATTGACTGTTGCTTCATAACAAAGAAACGCAGACAGTTTAGTGAGTCATTTTGCTTTATTCCATCATAATTTCAAGCCAAAAAATAATGAATCTTTGGTTCCATTGCAAATGATGGAAAAACATTAAAAGTTTGTGCATCCAAAAAAATTGTTTAAGCAGAGAAACCCCACTTTTGTGTGTACAAACAATTTTTATAATTGTATAGCGCAAATTGTCGGTGACATAAACAAAAACAAAATATGTGTCGCAAACAATTTACTTTAAACAATGAAAACATATTAGTCTTCACACAAACAAAAGTGTGCAAGCAAAATTCTTTTCTTACCGACGGAGAAAACTCTTGGGCAGTACCCAAAAGGAATGTTTGAGCGACAAGATAAACTTCAATTGGTGAGTGACAAAATGTACAATGCGGTATCTGGGGGAGGAAAGTTGCAAAGAAACTTAGACATAAAAGGATTTGTTATGCAGTTAAAACATGACTCTGGTTTGGAATGATTTCGTTCCCTGAATACCTAAGGGTGTGTTTGGGAGTTTGAGGGTGAAGGAAGGGAAAGGCTTTGAAGGGGAGTAGAGGGAAGGGAAGGGGAGGGAGATGGGAAGGAATTCCCTCCTCTTGTTTGGGAGTTACAAATTGCAAAAGAGGAGGGTTTTGGAGGACATATAATTAAAATGACACATGTACCCCTTCTCATTGTATAAGTAAAACATCATAATGTTTATTTAAATTCACATTTCAATTTCACTTCAGCAAACAAAAAATTATTTTATTCAAAAAAAAATTGTTTAATATTTAAAATAATTGAAGTATAAAATATCTAAAATCTTACTATATACCCATACTTTTGAGAAAAAATTAAAGCGAAATGAAAAATGAAAATATAAAAGAAGACAATTAACTTCGACAATTATAGGACAACATTATCTCAGCGTATTATGTTTCACATTTTATTTCAAGTACTTGCAGTTATATTAATCTAGCGCATTCCAATCAATAACATAAAGAAGTCAATGCACTCCAAATAAGCTCGACTTTCACACACACTTGCCTTCACTAATATGGCCTGCAACCAAATAGAAAAATTCGTTAATATAATATCCGAAACTTGCAAGCAATAATTAAATAAACGAAATACATTTATCATCACTTTTACCATTATTATCAAAATTATAATTTTAATAACTTAACAACAAACAAAAATCTTACACTCTCAATTACCACCTTTGTCAAAGAATGACATCATTACATTCATCACATTATCAAATAAACTATCATTTTTAAAAGTTAACACGAAACAAAAAATCTCACAATCTCAAACATCTTCATCAAAGGAACTGCATATATCAAAATTATTGATAACATAAACTGCCAAAAAAACATCAATATCAATTAATAGTATACTAAAAAAACTAAAGTCCTTAAAAACATATTAAGATAACCTGGTAGTAGATGCCGGTGGACCAAACACCATTTCAATAAGCAACTCCTTCTGTTTATTCTTCGGGCATCCAATGAGTCCTTTGATCATATCAGGATTGTTGAGAAGGTACAGATATGCTCGGTTGATCAAATGATTTTCAATATGCAAATCCTCCAAAAGCTTCCAAAGCTCAACTTCAGAAATCGGAAGCTTTTGATGAGATTTTTCATAAGCTAACGTGCTCTCACGAAGCGCAGAAGTGCTATCCTTAAAAGCTTCAGCAATCGTCATAAGTGCTGCGGTTACTCCTCCATCTTCAACCTTATCCTTGGATTTCTTTGGCCGCTTGGACTTAGGTTCATCTCGGACTCTGATCTGAGGTGATGTGACATCAACATCATTGACACCTTCTTGTAAACTATCACTAGTCTCAATCGAATCTGCACCAAATGATTTATCATTCCTAATATCCTCACCGGTTTCTGACATCCCTCCGTATGCTCGGTCTTCTCCACATATAATCACCATCTTGTCGTAGTTCGCAATCGGTTTCCTCATCCACTCTTCAGCATCGGGGTGAGCCTATTAAATAAATTTTATTGAAATAAGAGAACTTAGAATTTCATAATAATTTCAATATGTAAAATAAGCTGAAAAATAAAGTTTAGTTAAATTTGAGAACTTTTTGTTGTACCTCTACTAGTGTTTTCCAGACTTCAGGTTCAGCCAACCAACGTTTTGAGATTGGATCCCAAGCAAAGCCACTGAGATTTTTGAATAAATCATAACACTTTGTAAAATTTCTTTTTAGTAACTTCCATCTCCCCTTCACCTTATCTTTCTTGAAAGGTCTTCCGAACTTATTTTGCAAGTCACTAGTGATTGACATGTAAGCCTTTGTGGTGAATGTCCCGCTCACTCTATTCCCTTCATTGTGTTGATGTAGGAATGAATTAACAAGTTCATTGTCCATTTCTGCTGTCCATATCTCTCTGTCCATCGTGTACTTCTTTATTGTTGTCTTCACACTCTCAGAACTGGTAGTTGCATTACTTTCCATCTCTATAGATCCATTATATTAGTTCTAAGAAAAAATTTAATAATAACATCTGATTTAAAATAAACTATGCATCAATGACAAGCATTTAACTATCAATCAACACAATCAAAAAGCCAAAATATCTTTCAAGTTTGAAACAACCATAGAACAATTCTCAAGTTCACTCCTAATCAAAAAATAAACATCACGACATGTAATCTGCCCACATAGAATTAGCTATAGCATTTCTCAAGTTCTCTCCTAAATGAGTATGTTCTTCAATCTCGTTGTGTTCCACATTACTAGAAATTTGAGCTTCATTTTGATTGGCCATGTCTGCATCAACTTCAGCCATTAACTCTTCATCAGGATCCGATACCATGAGATAGTTGTGCAAAATGCATGATGCTATGATAATCCTATTTTGTGTCTTCACGCCATAGTGTGCTTCTCTTCCGGTCGCAATAATAGGAAATCTCTTCTTCCAAATAGAAAAGCATCTCTCAATGGCATTACGCAAGGATGCATGTCGATGGTTGAATAGTTCTTGAGCTGTTCGAGGTGGATTTCTTGAGGACCATTCCTTCAAGTGATAACGTGTTGATCTAAATGGTGTAATGAGTCCTTTTCTTAGCATAAACCCAGCATCAAGAAGGTAATATTTACCTATTAAAAAGTGTTATTAATAACGTTTATATATGAGCACGTGTATAGTAATAATAAAAAACATTTTAATTACCTTCCGGTATTTTCAAACAGCTTGTTCGGCTTAATGCATCTCTTAAAATCCTTGAATCTGATGCAGTTCCCTCCCACCCGGCCAAAACGTAAGTAAATTGCAAGTCAAAAGAGCACGCAGCCAACACATTTTGTGTTGGGAATTCTTTCCTACCTCGGTATCTAGGAGCATCAGCTGATGGAACTCTTACACGGACATGGGTACAATCGATTGCCCCGACACAATCCTAAAAGTGTGAATTTATTGTATTAATTATTTTATCGGAAAATTATGTTTCTAAATAAAAAATTAAAATAATTTATACCTCAAAATAAGGATAAAATCGACTGCTCCCTAGAATTGTTGAAGGTATCAGTGAGCCATCCGGTTGTTTGAGATACTTTCCCTCTAGAGAAATAATTGATTTAAGCACACGATGAAAATGGCGACTTATAGTTTCACCGGAACGTTGAAACCAAAACTGAACCACTTGACTTTTCATACCGTGTGTTAGGATATGGAGGGTTTTTGCCACTTGTTCCTCTACACACGCACGTTGTGTTGGCAAAAGACCACCCTCACTCTGTAGCATGGCACATAGGTCCATAAAAGCTTTTGGACCCATTCTAATTATTTTACGACCCTCATTAGTATCAAGTTTTTTCATTGTTTTAGTTCGTTCTTTCTCTCTCTCTATGATTAGAGCATGACTTGGTATTCTATTTCGAGCACTTTTGGTTATGAAATGATAAACTACAATGCATACAACATAAATTGTAGCCATTTGCAGTCTTTGTATCTTTCTATGCAAATCCAATATGCGTGCACCATCCATCTATATGAAGTAGAATTCTAATAATATGTTAGTAAAAATTGAAAGAGGGAAAATAGACTTTTGTACTACAGAAAAAGTGCACCCTAAGCTTGCTATTTCTAAATTTCTTCCAACAATTCTGCACTAACATATTTCTAGTAAAAAGCAAACACTTAACAATGCTAGCTAGGGACTGTTTTTTTCATTAAAAATTCTGATTGGTATTTTGTTTTTCATCTCAAAATCTAACGAAGTAATGTCTTTAGACTCGCTTAGGCCATGAGAGTGAAATCTTAGGTTCAAATAATATGAAGCGTTTTTAAAGAGAATCCTACACACAATGGAATCAGCTAAAGTAGTAAACACTAAACACAAACACCAATAGTAATCCACCACAAAATGATATAAATGGGTAAATAGATTCACACTCTGAGTTATCCACCACAAAATGATATAAAAAAGAGTAGTTGTATTATCTGGCCACAAGCAATGTGAGCAGTAAACGATACAGTAATAAGGAAACATGACATATATCTTAGAATAAGCTAAAAGATTGCTTAAAAATGGAAATACACATAATGTTATTATAAAAATGAGCATAGGAAATCTGGAATACAGAAACTTTAATTTGCAACAACAAAAAATCTAATTTCATTTGAAATAAGAACAATCCACCAAACAGAAATAAGTAAAAATGCATGATAGTTTATAGGAGGGGCTTTACTCGAAGTGAGCTGAAAACTAACGGTCTGGTAAGTTTATTTTGAAATATATACTTCGTATACTGTGTAGATTATTACCAGATGAAGCTAAAAAAGAACCAACTCTACACTTAGTCACTATCTAGTTGGTTGATAGAGTTTAGGTTCTGCACTCTGTATTTAAAATGCCCTTTGCTGCTGAGGAATTTGCCTCCAACGCAGTTTCAAGAATTAAACTCAGGTAATATGAAATTAAATATGAGTGAGCTGCAGTAGCGAATGATAGCAAGCTTCTATTATGTGGTTTCTCTGAATTTGAATATCGTAAATTAACTTCTAAAGGTAGTAAATGTATCCTCCAATTAGTGTATTTGATACAAAAGGAGTTTAGCTTTGTTCATGTATTTTGACTTTTAATATACTATATCTTTTATTGAATTCCTGTTTTAAATGCAGTAGTTGTAATCAATCAAGAAATTTAGCAATTTTTAGAATCAAGAAATTTAGCAGTTTTTAGTGTTAGAGGAAAAGTTAAAAAAATTACCTTCTAATCTCTTCATTACTCAAAACAACTCCACTTAAAACTCAAGAAAAGTTATATTTAGAGATTTGTGCTTCATTTTATTTTCCATTTAGCACACACTGATAGCCAGCTCACTCATATTTCATTTTCAATTTTCCATTACTAAAAACTACTCTATTTTAAATATAATGGAGGCAAATTCCTCAGCAGCAAAGGGCATTTTAAATCAGTGTATACAATAGCGATGATAGTCAGCTCACTCATACATATACAATAGGGTAAAATGCTTGCTCAATCGATGTATAGAAGACTCAAACAATATCTAAACTCATTGAAATCTGGAGTTTCAAACTAAAAAAATATCAAAAATCTCAAATCTAAAAACCCAACAGTGATTCCATGCAAACAAATAACAAATTAAAGCAAAAAACATGCGAAGAAGCACATGACTAGCTAAATACCAAATATAAAATCCATATCTCACACAAAATCCAAAGAAAAATTGAATCAATCTGAGAATGCGAAATACAATCAAATACGATTGAGAGACAGAGAGGCCAGATGTCGAGCGGAGATAGAGTGAAGCAGATAACAACAAAATACGAAAAATGCTTGGAAAACAGAACATACCTGAGAATTTTAGGCGAAATAGTGAAGTATGGTGTCGATAGCAGAGGATCCACTTCAAGCCGCAATGATTCCAAGCGAAGAATTTCGAGCAGAGAAAAAGATAGGGTTCCTAGCGGGATACAGTAGTCATTTGTGGAGCAGAGAGTCGTTCGTAGAGCTGGGTTCGTAGAGCAGAATTGTAGTTTGTGGAGCTAGGGTACGTTTAATCCTTCTAAACCTCCCGATTCGGGGGAATTAGAAAAGTGGATGTTTGAGGGTTTTACGAGGATTTTAAAAAAACCCCAAAGACTTTCCTTCCATTTTAAAAAACTCCCAAACACAAAATGGGGGGTGATTAACCCTCACACCCCTTCCCCTCCCCTCCAAAATCAAACTCCCAATCACACCCTAAGAGCTTAATAATTTAATTATTCTACATGGGTGATGCACGTATTGAGATCCAATCTGAATTCCCAAACGTAGCCGGCAGCAGCAGTTCGTCCGGAGGAGAAAAGTGGAACCAGGATGTAGTAGACAGAGACCGCATCCGATTGATGGAAACAGCACTATCGGCTGATTGGCAGCGGCGTCGTCTCAGAAAATCGGCGGACTGTTGCTGCATATTCCGGATACCCCCGAGCTTCGGCGAGGGGTGTTATCAACCCTCGATGGTGTCAATCGGTCCATACCACCACGGGAGGGAGGAGCTGAAGACCATGGAGGAGAACAAGCGGCGGAGCTTGGCGACATTGCTTGAGAGGACGAGGAAGAAAATGGGTTTGACTCTCGAGGACTACTTTGTCAAAGTTAAAAGTGTGGAAGGAGAAGCTAGAGACTGCTATTCGGAGGCCATTCTTCTGGAAAGCCATGAGTTTGTAGAGATTTTGGTTGTTGATGGCTGCTTCATCGTGGAACTTTTTCGGAAAGTGGCAGGGAGAATTCCTTATGAGGAGGGTGATCCAATATTATCCCTGGATTGGACCTTTCGTAGCCTCATGAAGGACTTAACCTGCCTGGAGAACCAAATACCCTTTGTTGTGCTCCAGGCCTTGTTTGACCTTACCCAATCCCCGGACAAACCCGGGTACGCCGACCGGGTGGCGTTGTCCTCTCTCGCCCTCCACTTCTTTAGTTTTGAACCATCAATCAGAAGACCAATGAATATTTGGCGGGGGGGCGAAAGCGTCGTCGTGGGGCGGCATTTACTGGATTTTCTCCGGTTGAGTTTCGTCATCGAGATGCCTGAGCCTGAATCTCCTCCGTCCAATCCGCCAGGAACTGCACGGAGCGACGTGACCCGATGCATCTCAAACTGGAGGAATCCCGGATGCAAGACCACGGTGTTCGTCCCAGTGAGCCACGCGATCCGGTGCATCTCGATGTTGCGTGGAGCCGGAATCAAGGTCACACGCCGCGAAGGAGCACAAAGTGTCCTAGCAATACGGTTCAAGGGGTCGGCAATCGAGATGCCTCCGATCCGAATGGACGACTTCATGGCGGCATTCTTGCGGAACTGCGTGGCGTTCGAGCATTGCCTCGAGTGTCAGTACAGATCCATCACAAAGTACGCCATATTGTTGGACGGCCTCATAGACACGTACGAGGACGTGGAAGTTTTGTGCGACCAAGGCATCTTGGAGAACCATTTAGGGACGAAAGGGGAGGTGGCGACTTTTGTGAATGAGCTAGTGAAGGGCGTGATCGTGGATGACTATATTCTTCATGGGTACTTGCATAAACTGTTTGGCGAGGTCAACCAGTATTACAACGATAGTTGGAACGTGTATTGGGCCATCCTCAAGAACAAATACTTTAACTCTCCTTGGTCCATCATGTCGTTCTTCGCTGCCATTGTTCTTCTCCTTCTCTCCGTAGCGCAGACCCTTTTCGCCTTTCTCGCTTATGTTAACCCTCCGCATGGTACGTACCTACGTCCTTTAAATTAAACAATTCTTAACTTTTTAACTACTCCTTCTCGAAAAGATTTGCCATATATATTGCCATCTATTAGAGAGTAATATATGTATGACTCATCATAACGCATGACATTTTGACGTATCTTTTGAATTATATGGTGATAATGTGCATAACCTACATATCAATGGGATTTCAAACAATAAACTCAAAGTAGACATTTTATAGTTTGATCAATTCTTATTTGGCCAATCAAAAGTCACAGAATTACAAAATGAATTGAGTATTTTCAATCAGTTTTTATTGCTACTTTTATTGCTACATTTTAAACCAGTTTGCCTCATTGGAAATGCACATATTTGATCATTACTATATTGGTAGAACTATCGAATAAGCCCTCGAACTTTCATAAAAAGTGTAAATAAGCCCTTTCACAGGAGACTTTGTCCGGCTGTCACCATTTGGGGCGGTTTCCGGTGGAAGACTTTGATGAAATTTTTTGAGCATCTTCTTCAGTAAGTCTAGTTTACCCATACCAAATTTCAGCTAAACATTCAATCTAGAAGGCAGTCAAATGATTTTCTGAAATATACTGCACTGCCTAACTACGCAGTTATCTTCAAAAATTCATTTGTCTACTTTTCCGATTGAAATTTTATCTGAAATTTGGTATGAGTAAACTAGACTTAATAAAGAAGACGCACAAAAAATTTCATCAAAACATTCCACCGGAAACCGCTCTAAATGGTGACGGCCGGACAAAGGCTCTTATAAAAGGGCTTATTTGCACTTTTTATGAAAGTTCGAGGGCTTATTTGAGAGTTCTCCCTTACTATATTTAAATGCTCCAATTACATAATAAGTGCTACATTTTTCCAATTTCAATCGCATTTTAACTTTATGTATTGAATAAATATCATGAACACTTATCGTATATGTGATTTCAGAATCATGAACATCTATTAATTTCAAAATTTCATTCACACTGGTGAGAGTAAGAAGTTTGGTAAATTTAGTGTCCGCTTAGTGATCGAGCCCTTTTTAAATATGAAATTGTCCCATGAATTTATGAAATTAAAATAAAAGGCGTTAAGTTTTTAAATATATTTTTTATTAAAAGACTAATGACCCATTTAACCAATCATTGTACATGATTATCTATTACCTATTGGGACGGGTACGATGTTGCTAAAAATTACTCATTGAATAATGGAGTTATGATTAGACTATGGGAAACTACCTCGCGGGATGGCTAAAGTTATATGCATTTTTTGCCCTAAAATAGAAATTAAAAATTCATTTTAAGATTTTTAATTTGTAAGTCTTTTGAGTTGATTTTCTCATATTAACATACGTATTAGTGAAAAATAAGATTTGCATAGGTAGAGAAGAAGTTTTTTTTATAGTTTTTAGTCTTGGTAACACTTGATATCTAGTAACACAACTTTTAGCACTATATATTAAATTTAAATTATATTATAAAATTCACCATGAGATTTCAAACATGATATGAAATCGAACTCAATAAAATAACATTATTAATAACTTAAGAGAATATGGTATCTTTAAAGTTGCATGTCTTAATAGAATTGCAGAGGAATAAAGTTTTGTTTATTTGTAGTTGTAGATGAGGGGTATATGATTTTTTACTAAATTGATATGAATGTGATATCCCTGAAAATTATTTATGACACCAAAAAATTTACAAAAGGAAATACTTATTTACTTATTTCTTGTTTCAGTTGAGACAATGATTAGTCTGAAAAATGAAATTAAAAACAACTCAATTGGATTAGATATAATTTTTTTTTATTTTGAAATTAATTTAATTAGAATACTGACTAGCATTCTGTCAGTGTGATCAATACAAAAATAATACGTAGTATAATAATGAAGTAAGGTCCGTATCCACAGAGAAAGGAATACTTCTCTTTTATGTAACTAGTAACGGGGGGGGTTGATTGTTCTTTGAACTTTAAGAATATTTAAACACTAATATGAATGACTTATGTGGTTTAATTAATTAGAGATGAGCACTTGGTTTTGCTTATATCCACTTAATGAAATGTTCGTCGATCCCGGTTATATCTCTAACTATCTTCCTCTCGAATAATCAATCGAGGAGTATCTCCAATTCATCGAGGGTATTATTTCATAACAAGACACGTTCATTAATAAAACTTACTATCAAGTCAATATAGAACATGCGCCGTATATTGACCCGATAGTAGCAATAGAACTTCAGATGAAAACGATTGAGATTGATAACTTCACCACAAGCGGTTTATTTGTTTAATCAATATATTTAATTCCCCTTAGATTATTAACCATGAGACGCATGCATTATTAATCCAAGTTTACTACCGTGAAAGAACCGAACGATTTACAAGCATATTCGTCGATCAATTCTAGTAATAATTAATATATGAAACAAAACTAGTTGATTCTTTAAGTAATGCTCAAAATATTAATATGAAATAAGAATAGGAATGTAATTAATATTCAAGAAAGATAATGTAGCAAAACCAATATAGAAGAGTTTAGCTCCTCATTTGGAGACTAAACATGCTAAAAATATAAAGAAAGTAGTTGACTAAACTGAGTCTAGAAGTGATGGAGTATATGGTCTGGGGACCCCCAGCCCATGTACTCCACTACTGCAATCAGGCCCAAACGGGTCAAGCCCAGCATAATGAAGCTCTAAGCAACCCACAAGACGCAAGGGTGTGTCTTCGGCCCCATTACCGAAGGCTACCATTGACAGATTCGAGCTCAGAAACATCACAGGAGAACAAGGCTTGAAAACCAAGCCTTCGGCATATACAGCTCTCGGCACAGGGAAGCCCCCAGTTAGAAGAGCCTTCGGCCCAACACCCTTCAGCCGAAGGCGCCCTCCTCGACATGATCTCCTCTCCACATGCGCCTGAATCGTCGTACCAAGTACAACGTCGCATCCAACCACCGCATTTAATGCGGCCACATGCAAGTGTCGGTGCCACCCCGATTGAGGTGACCCTCGGCCGTCGGATGCTTGACACGTGTCCCTGTCTAGCATTTATTACTACTATAGATAGCAGCCCCTTTCCCCATTGTAAACCACACAAAATCATATCGAATATACACTCTCTCTCTCTTACTTATTGGCTCTGACTTCTCTCTAGTTATTCCCGCAATATCCTCCGGATAGATACCCCCTGGATACACTATCCATTATTTGGTGCTCTCATTGAGAGGTCGAACAATCAAGTAAGAAACCCTCCCCTTCAGCTCAAAACACCTACGAAAATGGGAAGAACCACCCAAGCTCAGTCCAAGACCCTTGAGGACAACAACCTGGCCCTCGGCGAAGTCGACGGCCCCGGAGCCTCCAACAAGGCCCCCGAGGGCGGAGTCATCGCTGGGTTGGACCAGGCTGCTGTTGACCTGCACCTTCAGCTCCAGCAAAATGCTCTCGATGCCCGCCTCAGTATCGAGACCCAAAGGAAGGACCGGAGCGAAAATCAAGTGAGCCCTCCGGTCCTCACTATTGACGTACAATCGGCATTTTCCGCCTTCATCCAAACGCTCACCCAGAATCCAGGTGCCTTCGGCACGCTGGTACCACTTCAGCCGCAGGTCGGCAAGAACGCCATTCCTCCCCCTCCTCCGCCCCCTTTCGTGAACCCTGTCTTTCGGAGGCCCTCCCAAAGGATCACAAGGATGAAATTATTGAGGCCTTCCAACGCCGCCTTGATGAAATGGAGGCCCGCCAAGCACATACGATCGCTTCCGCCTCGTAGACAGACCCCAAATATGCCACCATGTTTGCCAAAATGGAGGAAATGCAAAGAAAATTTGCCGAGGGCTCTGGGGAACCCATCATCCAACTCCGGACTAGAACACCATTCACCCTAAGGGTGTTGGAGGCCCAGATTCTGGGAAAATACCGAAGGCAACCCATCAAGCTCTATGAAGGAAAGACTGACCCCCAGGAGCACTACAGCAGATACCAAAACAACATGATGATGATGGGGGCATCAGATGAATATTTGTGTCGTTGGTTCCTTTCCACCTTAGAGGGACCGGCGTACGAATGATTCAACCGATTGCCCGAAGGCAACATCGATTCGTGGCAAGAACTCACCCGGCGTTTCTTGACACAATTCGCAGGACGGCACCGGTCCAAGAAACACTTCTCCCATCTACTTACAGTAAGGAAACAGAAGGAGGAGACCCTTCGAGATTTCCTTGATCGCTGGAGGCTAGAGATGGACAAAGTCGACGGCGCTGATGATAGGACCCTTATGGCTCTCCTGCAGACGGTCCTCCATACCGGCAACTTCTCCAGGAGCCTTATTATCGATCCTCCCCGCGACTACATAAAGGCCCTATACGCGGAGGAGACCGATACGCGGAGGTCGAGGAGGTGGAGAGGTCAAATCGAAACCCCGAACAACAACGTCCCAGGCAGGATGGCAGGGGCTCCATTCCATCAATCCAAAGGCCCGTCTCCCTCGGGTGATCGTCCCCGGCATGGCAAAGCCAAACCCGGGGGAGGTTACAAAAACAACCTGAAGGCCTGAGCGCAGCCTGTTCTCTTGGATCACCCTCATACACCCTTGACACACCCCGTCGGCGTCATCCTCGATTTCGCCGAGGAGAGGGGATCATAGAGCGAGATTCTCACGCAGCCCTGGAGGGATATGCTGTCAACCCCAATGAACCATACTATCGCTTCCATCGTAACCAGGGGCATAGAACCGACGACTGCCATCAGCTAAAGGCAGCCATTGAGAGGTTGATACAGACAGGCCATCTGTCTAAGTTCATCAGGGGCCTTCCTCCTCAGGAGACCTCTCATCACCAAGGGCCCCCGCCGAAGGCCAATAAGTGGGTTAACCCGAACACCATCCCTTTGGGAAATCCGTAGGGGAAGCAGTGTGAGATTGGGAACCTCGACGAGGAAGAAGAGTACCACCAGTACCAGGAGAAGAAACGCCATATCCACATGATCACCGACGGCAACACAAG